TGAGGTTGAAAGAGGTGGAAAGTAGGACTAAAATTTCTATTATCGGGATATCTTTACTTTAAAATACAGAAATGTGTATTACATTGTATAATGTATATCTTGATAAATATCTTCCTCTATAATAAATATTATTATAAATTATTATTATTAATATAAATAATAAATATTATTTTATTCACATTTTCAAATAGTATATAAATTATATATCATTCGAAAAGGCGAGTAAAATAGTATATAGTAGGGGAAATAATAGAGGAATCCTGTATTCACGAAATAAAGGAAAAAAGAATTATATAGCGATTTAGAGAGTCACGCAATCGATCGCGATGGCGTGTTTGGGTTCCACTGGGGTTTCAGAATTACATGTAAACGCCGCGTAATTTTTCTCTTGGATTTATGTCCTATTTCTAGGCATTAATTTTGATTGATAAAAGAAAATCTGCGAGTCTGAAGAAGAAATAAAGGCCCGAGAGTCACGCGATCAGGCGAGTTGCGTATCTAATACGCAACTCGCATCATTATCAGATTTATCAAGTCGTGTAAATCATTAATTGTTCTTTTATCTTTTAATCATCATCGCTAAATATAATTACACCCGGACATTACGAATAAATTTGAGTGATTGCAATATTATCTGTAATTTAAATTTTAATATACGATTGCAGCAACGAACAGATTTATCCAAAATGAAGAAATATATATCTATATTGCGTGTTTAGATTCACTTGACGACCTTAATAGACACAATCACCGAGGAAATTTTCCAGCTGTGGCTTCCAGCGGCGAAGTTAACTCGCCAACACTCCACTTATTGTCGGAGGAAAAGACGTGCGAATGACAGCGTGGAAAAAAGGGGGCGAGGAAAGGAATGCACCCATGCAATGTCTCGAGTCTGAAACGGATGCGATGTGGACTGCACTCTTTTAACGGCAACACGGTCGCAACATTTGCGGAGAAATCTCTTTATTTCCGTGGCGGTCACAATCCGTACCGTTACAAAACCCGAGTACAAAACCATATTCGCGTAACGGTAAGGTCGGAGAAAAGGGAGAAAGAGAGGATTACCGCGAGGTATTCGTTTCGCTCGTTACCGGTGGCCAGATAGAAAACGGGATCGTCGTCGGATTTGCTTGGGCGTGGAGTGAATTCGCGCAAATGCGATCGGAATCGATTTGCAACGTGTATACGATCGCAGTCGCGGTGTTTTTCGTCGCCAACGGGACGCGACGCGATGCGACACGACGCGACGGTGCGCGGCACCTCGCGAAACACGCATCGATATCACCGGCGCCGACGAGAGATACTTATTTCATATTTCGGCGGCTAGCTTCTTTTTTCCGCATAACATCGTTTTAAGTTAAAATGAAAATTAAATTAATTAAAAGTATAAGTATTTTAATTGTAAAATATTTTTTATTTTAAGTATAATATTAAAAGTATAAGTATATTTTTTATTTTAAGTATAATTAAAGGTATAAGTATTTTAATTATAAAATATTTTTTATTTCAAGTATAAGTATTTTAATTTTAAGTTAAATTATCATTTTAAGGGTTAAAATTTTTAACTCTTACCGTATCATCTACAATTTGGTGCCTCATCCACACCATCAGGGTCACTAAAATCTCTTCGTTTTTTTCACCTCTTCAAAATAATTTAAAAAATCTCTAAAAATTTACTAACATACTTTCAACTTTCTAGAATAAATATTGACTCTTTATTTTGGAAAATAATAAAATGTAGTATAATTTATAATTACCGAAAGACTCAAAGAAACTTGCACGTACAGGAAATTGCTCGGTCACTAGTTACCCATATTAGTACGGTTAATAATATGCATGCAAAAATAATCTCTTATGAAATCTTACTTGTTTCGCAAGCGATATTACAACCTTTTAATTATCCAGTTTTTTAACTGGAAACACATAACGAGATCAACGAGATACCGAAAACTATCATCAGGTTTTGTAAGTGGTAATAAAAGAGTCGGCATCTCTTTCCGAAGAATATGCAAAAATTCTTCGATATTCACACAGGTCTGCATATTTTTTATATTGCATTACTTATACTACAATATTCATAAATTTCAAAGTTATGGATAAAATATAATTTGCAAAATATTTCAGTTTGAAATTTATAGATCAAGCGTAAGTAGTGCGATATAAAAAATGTACGGATCTAATTATGGAATTATTTTATAAACATCCTTTGACACAATCAGAAATCTAAATATTTTTAATACTTAAGGAAAATGTAGACATTCTGCGATAAATCAGAAATCTGCATATTTTTGATATTACTTACATTTTATCCATAAATTCCAAATTGAGCTGTATGGTAAAGTATAAGTAACGCAATATAAAAAATATGCAGATCTGATTTATATTATAAAATTTTTATATATTCTTTAGAAAGAGATCTTGGCTCTTTTATAGTCATTTATAAAACCTAATGATAGTCTTCGATATATCTCGTTGATTCAATCAGATTTATGCGATACAGCCGTACATCTCGAGATTATCTCGGAATCGTTTCGGGGTTGAAAAATCCGGAAAGGTTCCCAACGCGACGGCCCGTATCGATGCGCGGCAGCGTGCAGTGCAGCGAAGATGTCCGGCATGGATAAGGGTTCCACGGAAGAACGTTTGATTTTATGTGGAACCTGTTCCCACCGTGTGTATATGTACGTACATGCGCGTCTCTCGCACGAATGGGTTTACTTAGGCCCGCACGTACTTGGCTTCACGCTTCTGCGAAGCCTGCTTGTAAATTAGTGCGTTCATAACAGCTGGCTGATCGTTTGACCGGGACATCCGAAAACCCGACGAGTGTCTCAATTAAAGAAGGTATTCATGTGCGATGGATCGATTTGCGGCATCGACTTTCGGCAAAGTCCACTGGAAAAACGAGAGAATTTACATAATATCCTTACATTTACAGAATGTTGTGCAGACTGAAATTTTCTAAAGAATTTCAATTTGATTTTCGAATCTCTAGAAATTAATCTCTATAATTTTCAACATAATTTTATATATACAAAAAAATTCAATTATATTTTATGAATTGTATTTTTTTTTATATAACGTGAATCTAGTAATGATGAATTCCGTTAAAGTAATAATTGATCTTGATAACAATAAATAATAACAATCAAAAAACAAAAATTGATGCAATTAATGCATTTTAATAGAGATGGGCGAATCAAGATTTTGTAACTTCGAATCGAACCGATTCGAATCTGAGAGTTGATTGTGTATTTTGAATAAGGTGAAAATTACAAAATTTATTAGAATATTTATAATTTCATTGATCAACACCTAGTGTATGTATATGATTAAGATTGTCAATATATGTATTTGATTCTTATATTTAAACATCTAGGCCGGTATTTATAATCGATTCTTATATTTGATACTGCCTTAAGTTCAGTTTTAAGATATTATAGTTTGTTATAAACATTAGCTGCATCTTAAGACATTACTTAAGATGGTCTTAAAATAAGAATATCCGCCATAAATTCGAAATTTTCGAATAGTTTGTGTTCGAATAGTTCGCACATCTCTAACATTTAATATATTTACTTTGTGTTGTTACACTCATAAAAAATAATTTTTCGGAAAATCTACGACTATCCAAATTAATAACTATAGAAACAGATGAAAACAAATTAAAAATTAAAATAAATAAAAATAAAAAAGAGCGAACGGCTTAAGTCTGCGAGAAAAAAAACGAGACTTTCGTAACGAGGGCTGCTGCGTATCGGACACGAGAAAAGGGGGCGAAAGGGAGGTCAGCAGCCCCTTTCTCTTTGCTTCGTTCTCTCTTTCTCGGACAGCTACAGGGGTGAGTGACTCACGTTCTGTCGGCCTCGACGCCGTTCGTCGGGACGCAAACGCCTACCCTCCAAATATTGATTCGCTCGCCCGAGGAACGCACGCGTCGCAACGCGTGTCGTATCAAGGGAGGCTTTCTCCCCGAGAACAGGCCTTTCGTTTTAGGTCTTCTGCAAATCGGATTTCCTCCGAGACAGCACGTTTCTTCTCGGGGCGAGATCTGGTCAAGTCTTTTCAAGGGCTTTTTCTTTTTCGAGTTCAAAGAGAGATTTCAGTGGCAAGGGTGAGCGCAAAAATAAAGCAAGTTCAATGTCGATTTAAATACAATGTCGGATCGTAAGATTTTTAAATCAACTTACTTTATTCTCTCGCTCTGAATTCCTACAACTTCAAACTTAGCGATGAGACTTCTAAGATATGTTTTTTTTTAAATATTTATCAAAGTAAATTTATAAAACAATAAAATAATCTTACTATAATACTCTCTTTCTCTAATTCTTTCTTCAATTATATTTTAGAGAATTATAATTTAGAGATAAATTTTTTATTATTTTATATAACATATAAATATCATGTGTTATATTAAAGGATAATAATACAAGATACTTGTAGTGATTAAATTGAAATTGTATAAATAAAATAATAAAAATAATAGAACCTTTTTCTTTCGCTTCTTCGTCCTAAAAAAAGTTTCTTAAAATAAAACTTAAAATTTTTCAAACCATCAACTTTTCGTATTTAAAAAATTTTCAAATTTTCACATTTTTAGATTTTCGTAAATAAACTTTTCGTATATTTTATAAACAACAATTAAATGTACTTTTGATGATTTTCATTTTTTAATAGTACAGTACTTTTCTACAAGTTTATTCCGACAGTCTGCAGCATGTCATCATCGATTGACAGCGCGCGTGTATCTCCCATCGGTGGAAAAACCACGCGGGAAAGAGAGACTCGTTAATGAGAGACTCGGTTCGTTAACCGGCAACCGGCGTGGCAATTAAAAGGTCACTTTTCCCGTGGGAAAATACCTATACAGCGGTGCAAAACCAGGGGGAGAAGAAGGAGCAGGAATAGAAGAAGAAGAAGAAGACGCTTCGCACACACGCGTGTGCTCCGTGGCAGCGCAAAAGAGTAGGAAGAAGAGCGGCGTCGCAGAGGTCACTCACCGTCCCGCCAAGGTCGCCGTTGTTGAACAATTGGTCACATCTCCGTGCAAAATTGTCTATTTCACAATTTAGACCTTCGGTATCACCTGGAGCACTCGGATGAACCGCGATACTGCCTCCGTTCGCGTGCACGAGTCGAAAATCGCGAGGCCAACTCGCGCACCGCGCGATACACCGCCTCGCGTCAGCGTCGCGACTGCCGTCGTCGCCGCTCGCCGCTCGCTTACTTTGGTCTTCGACTTTACACGCGGCCGCGATGCGCGCGTGCGCGCGATCACACCTGTGTTATGGCTATAGTGATGTAGGCGAAGCTCTTGAAACCCTCGTCTGGAGCTTCAATCCTGAATTTATTTCCGTTTTCAATTTTCCATACGATTAAAAAATTAATATTTACGCAATTATGTAGTCTACATAATTAAATCTATACTATTATGGACAATGTTCGTAACGATATCCTTTATTTAAGATTAAAATCGTTAATCTATCTAAGGCTTAGCAGATAAAATTGAATTAGAATTGACATATCAATTCTAATTTTAATTATGTGAATATAATTTTGAATTATAGACGAATCTTCGTTTTGGCTCATGATTCTATTTCTTATTTTATTTGTATTTAAAATCACTTCAAGTCCAGTCTCCCATCCAGCTAATAAAATAATCAAATATTAGATTCAAGACAGTCTTAAAAATAGGATTTAATTACAAAGACTGTCCTTATGTCTAATTAATCTTTTTTATTGTTTAAGTCTAATCAGCAGACATTTAATTATCATCTATAGAGTAATTATAAGATAATCATTACCTTTTTAATTAATTTTGAGCCTTAATCCAACGAGATTAATTTCAAGATAATTTCGTTACTTATTATTTATAGAATATATGTATATCTGTATTATGCATAAGTCAGTGCGATCATTTATACTCCAGCTTGATGTCGGCCCTGAGCGCACGTTCACTTGCTCGTGCGTGAGTACACACATGCGTACGTGCGTGTAGACAATTGCGTGTGTGTACACGATTGTGACTGTAACCGCCATAGGACAGATTGTCTGTTCAACGCATCTGGCCAAGTCTCGCCGATCAGTAAGTAACATGTCGCGACGCGAAATGAAACGGATCGAGTCGAGAGAAGATGAAGTTAATTTTTCCCGGTTGTAAATCAAATTTCCCCGCTTTCCGGAAAAGCGATTGTGCGGAAAAATACGAATGCGGAAAGATCAAACGAAACGCGCATGCTTCGCCGTCAGCATATGGAATTCTCTTGTCTTTCTGAATCTGAGACAAGAATCTTATACTCGGTATACAGGGTGTCAGGAAATTGCAGATACAAACTTTAGGAAGGAAAATTCTTCTTAAGAGGATTGGTTCAGAAAAACTCGCTCTTCGAATTATATAAGCGGTAAAGATAATTGGTTTTTCACGAGACAGTTTGTGTGATTGTGCATAAGTAATAAATTTGTTTAATTTTACATGCGCAAAACAGATTTTACTCAAAATTTTTAAACAGTGTTCAATTATTCGAAATCAATTCAATTATTCAATTAATGGAATTGTAAGAAATTAAAAAAAAAAATAAAGGAAAATAATATTTAATAAAATTTTTATGTCAATTTGATAAAAAAATCTAAGAATAAAATTTGTATCTGTAATTCTCTTTTAACATCCTATATCAAGTGAATCCTATTATTTGTAAGTGGGTGTGTGTGAAGACACCTATTACTTGTAAGTGTATATATGAAGACACCTGCCGATTACAGTTAAATTTTTTAAACACGTGTTAACATACATTTGTGGAGATGTGAAAAAAATTTGTAATTTGATTACTGTACAAATACTGATTGATAATGAGTGTCGATTTATAAGGATATGTTTCCATATTTATTGGACGATTTGGATGACATTGGACTGCATAATCATAAGAGAATATGTTTGAATAGCACAATTTGAAGAAGAAAGGAAAGGCCCGTCTCATTCACTTGTGAGTTGGCGTGTTGACGTCCAGGGAGCGCCAGTTAGTGGGTTGTTATCTTTACCTACGCCGCTTCCTTTGTGCAAACAATATTTATATATAATGTTTATATTTTACATAAAATTCTGTAAATCAGAATTTTTGTTATTTTTAAGACGTTATTTTTTCATTAATTTATCTTTTCACGCCTATTTAACACAATTTATATATCATTATAAAACATTTAAATAAAATAATTAATGAAACATAAAATATTGTTTCACTATTTTATTTCATTTCTGTAAAATATAATCCTCTTAAATTTTAATAAATCCGATTAACGTAATTATTACTAGATGATTACACTTATTTTAATGCGAATATCGCTTCTCATTAATCGTCAAACACGTGTTACCGGTTTGCGTGGATCTTTCTTTTGGTGCGTTTCTCATTTCATCGAGACTCGGGCTGTCTTAATTTATCGATATAATATAATAATGTATCACACGGACGAACCTGACAACTTTGCAATCATCGCATGCTGCGTTCGGTAGAAAAAGTGTATCGTGAGCGAAACAAGATACAGTCGATTTGCAACGCGAAGTTAATTTATTATCAATGTATGATTAATGTTCAAACAAGATCGACGATTGCTATGTAATTTGTATAACCATCTTTTTTGATTAAGCACGAATGGAACGGAAACGGCAAGATCGTCGTTTTGCCGCCAAGAAGTCGGTCTGTCCGAAATACGTGAACTGCGATTGTCCCCCATTATATTTGAATGATGCAGAAAAATGTCGCCCAATAGATGTGGATTATACTGTACAGAAATTGCGACAACTCGTGTCGGATCCTGTCACCAATGATCATGTCCAGCGGATATCACGACTTTTATCTGATTACTTGCATGAAATCGGCGACGACGGTTATGTATCCTTTAATTTACACGTATTAAAAATAAGAATCTTTTTGACTGAGAATTATTAAGGAGGTTCTCACATTTGATGAAATATAAGACAAGTCTATAATATACACGTAATACAAATGTTAATAATATCAATAATACCTAGAAAAAATGTCATTAACTTTTATAGTATCATTTTGAAGATATTTAATTCTAATTTTATAGAATTTTTTACATTACAAGTTGGAGATGTAACCTTATTCTGTAATTATATTTTCTTTTAAATTGAGACACCTGCATACAAGATAGTGCAATGTAAAAATTGTTATAATTATAAAATAAACATTTAAGTTTGTTCTCGTAAAGTTTTATTTAAACTGATTGTACAATTTACAAGAAATTTATGTTCGTCAATGAAAAAAGCTAGAATATATGTTAAATGGATGATGCTCGAGAACGATGCTTATACATCAAATGAGCATCTTAATCAACTTTTATTTTGTCATTTAAAAAATATTTAGTAACATATAAAATGACAATAATTATGTATAATGGCGTAAGATATTGTTAGTAATCTTTTTATTCCATTATTTTAATTGTTTTACATATTATTATAAATAAACTGTCTATTGACTAGGAAGTAGCATGAGAACCTCCTTAAAGCCAGCTAATTTTTATGTGACAAAATAGGAAATGTTACACTTTTTTTACTTGCTTTTAAAAAATTATAATTTAGGAACGTAAAATTTATATTAATTTTTGAGGATAATTAATTAATAAAAATATCTTTGAGGCCTTAAGTAATATTGTAGTAACAAAAGCATTATTTAAGAATTAATAATAGCTTACTAAAAATTAATTTCTTATACTTTGTTGCTTGTTGTATCTATTTTGCTTTCACTTGCTCCAGTTTACTCGATATTTTCTAATCATTTCTAAGTGTGTTTTCTTAAAGATACCTTTCACAGCCAGTCAAACACCTGCCGGCCATAATGAAGATATTGGAATTTCTGGCCTGGAAAAGCAAAGAAACCAACGACTATCAGGAGCATTTGGATAGGATGTTGCAGTTATGCAGTCAGCCGCCTTTACTGAAACAAGCTTCCGAGAGTCTCACTAGTTCTGTCATAATAGAACACTATTTTACGTTTCTTGGTTATCTCCTAACAATTTTGCCTAATAAAGATGTCCAACAGATCCACGAGGCTCTTGATTGTTTATTAATTAGGCAGATGAAACCGATAAACGTTGCGGCAGTGAAATTAGATTTTCGTCGTCGAGCTATGGAGAATTCTAGATTGCCGATTATCATCATTGAACTGCTGGAGGCTGCTATGCCAAAAATATATCCGAAGATCTTAGAACTGGCTTATATGGTCGCCTCGATCTCAAATCAATGTTGTGAGTAATCTCGAATCGAGATATTTTATATATTGTTTAAATTAGAAAAACATTACTCTTCTCAATTAAATTCAATTTAAATTTAAATTTTTCTCAAATGTTCTTTAAACATTTTGAGCAGAAAGAATATTTAAAAAAATATATATTTTGAGTTTCTTAAAGACAAAAAATTTGAAAAGAAATTTAGTAGAACACTATACCGAATGCTTATACATTATAAGCTCATATTTTATTCAAATATTATTCCGAGGAATAACAAGCATGCCGGGACATTAAAGCAAAGATGGTCTTCAAAGAATACCTCTGGCATCTCTTGTTTTACGTGCATAGACTACAACTTTACATTTATGAATAAAGGTCACAGAATGCTGCAGGCTGGGATACTGAACACGTTGTTAACCAGGATGGACCTTCCTTACGCGACGGAACTTACGTGTTGCACCGTACCGATGGACATACCCCTTGAGGGAGAGGAATATCCGTGGGACATCATGCTCTTGATAATGAAACTCTTGTGGAGTCTCATGAGATCGGTGTTATCTTCGAAAACGCTACCAGAACACCTGAAGGACCTCCCATCGCCCAAGCAATGCGCCATGTGGTATTATTTGATAGCACGCTTTAATCGATTAGCTATTAAAAATTTAAAGACAAAATGTGATAAAAAAATAATCATAAAATAAATTTTATTCAGGGTTGTTATATAGACACATTATTATCTTTTTTTTAATTTATAAGATATTATTCTTTAGCTTCCTCTTTAATAGAGATGAGCTATCAAGCATAAAATATACGTTTTCTGACGCAGTACAGGGGCTTAAGGTATTCCTTCAAACGGCAGATACTTCGCGGTCAATACTGTGCCGTCAATTTGAGGTTCAGGAACGACATCGCCGCATTGATCCTCGCTGGAATCGTGGCTTTACCATCGTGGGATCTTGTCAGTAACGGTATCGCGGAAGATATCGTCAATCTTTTATCTACAATTGAATCTGGCACTACTAAAATATGGTCAGAAAATGTTAAGTTCTCCGACAGTGATGAGGACCTCTTCTTCAAAAAGATCCTACTGATGATCATCGCTTACCTCGCAGATATCGACGTTTACATCTTCGTAAATTATTCGCATCAATTTTATTTAAAAAATGTTAGACGAAAAAAATTTTTTTTTTAATCAAGAAAAAGTAAAAGATGTTTTGAACTTGTTATTTTTTAAATATGATTTTTCTAGGATTGAAGATTCAATCTCAAAACATATTTATTTTAACAAAAACATATGTTATTTTTAAATTTTAAGAAATATGTATTGACAGATAATTTTTTAATTTTTTAGGTGATGGACAAAGCGATGATTATGCCAGTTATTCTTCGGATCATTAAATTCTGCATGAACAATAAAAAAGATAAAGGATCTTCTCCGTCGCTAATTCTTTTGGAGCGTGCAATGCATATCTTATCACTGTTAGCTCCACGAATAGAAACGGAATTTGTGAAGCGCAAAGGCACTCTTATGTAAAAAAAAACATAGAAAAATTAATTGGATTTTAATGTGGAGCCAAATGAAATAAATTTTAATACTCACAGATTACTGATGATGCTCAAGCAAATTTTGAACGTGGAATTCGACGAGTATCTTGCGATGATTTTTACGAGATCCGTTTGCTCGATAATTCTGCAGGACAACATCTTTCTTCTGGAGGATTTCCAAAAACACGGAATGATACCGTTATTAATTAGTAAGAAATATTATAAGTTATTTCATAGACAAGTATAAAAATTGATGTAAACTTTTTTACAATGATCTTTGAATTCTTAATAAAAAATATTACTTTTTTAATTTTAGAATTATTCAGCAATATAATGAGTTTAGATAAGCTTACGATGAGGAGGCAACGAATTCTAACATTGCTACTGATCTCCCTAGAAGGGCTTATGAAAAAACAAATGTCTGTTCAACAGATGTGCGAACGACGAAGCGTCGAGTTTATTTTAGAAATATTCGCAAAGTGTCTACATCAAAGAAACGAGGATTTTCAAATAGATCAGCGGTAACGTTGCACAAATACAATTCACACAAATATTACTTTGATGGTTTTTATTATAATTTTCTATATTAATTATTTAATTAATTTCTTACGTTAATTAATAAATTGTATTAACTAATTACTAGTCAATGATTATAAATATTAAGGCTATTATAAAATTTAAGAAATGTACGTACTGAATTTAGAAAGAATTTACATATTGAAATGAAAAATAGAAGCAAATATGTTACAAATAATTTTTTTATCATTTTTCGACAGACTGTTGCTAGCAATAGGCGCTTACGTTTGGAAATGCATAGTGCGATGTCCTGAGAATCTTCAAATTTTCTTGAACGGCGGTGGATTGTACTCGGTGTTGGACATCATTGAGGTCGCGAGCTACCCTGTAAGGTGTTTGTATCTCGGTGCACTGACTGATATGTGCGATAGCATCTTTTGCGGACCATGTCTCTGCACCTGGAGAGGCGCTGATAAGAAGACAGGTCTGATGTCTTTATTCATGAGTATTTGGCGAGAAGAAGAAGACAGGATCGGCATTAAAAGACGCGCCGACGGTTCCATAGCAGGTATAATCTCGCGAATCAAAATGTCGAGCTTCATATACGAAGACATTTTTTCACAGAAAATCTACTTTAATTTAACATTTCTTAAATTCTTGAAAATCGCTTAAAATTCTGGACGTAAAAATACGGAATATTTTCGATAATTAGGAAAGCAGAGAAGCTCTCTTTATTTAAGAAATATCTATCTAAACATTTTTTAATTATTTATGTAAATTAAGGAATAAATTGGAACAAAAAGTTAAGCAAATTTTTTTAATTATACGTAATTGAATTCGTTCGTAATTTTAGATCCTGAATTTCCTCAGATGGGCACCAAGCAGTGGATAGACACCTATCGTTTCCAGCTTACGGAAGACGCTAGTCCCACTATAGCTGACATGCTTGGTTCGGTACGATCAAAAATCTTTAGTATTTTGAAAATAATTGAGAGAGACGGCGACAAATACGAAATCGCTAAGAAGCATTATAAGATTCTACTTGAGGAATTGCCAACAAAAGATCACGTAAGATACATTATCCTTGATCAGACCATTTCTTCAAACATAGTAATATTAAATTTTTTACATAATATCAGAATGAATCATTGTGTTCGGATTTTTTTAGATAACACTATGTTGCGCCGACATGTATCTACGACTGAAGCTCGGTCAGATGTGGACGGAGCTTAGCAGATATTTGGAGCAGACCGGCGTCATCCCATTGAGCGTGGACGCGCATCTGATCGTTCACATGGTGCAGTGGCATCATTCATGGGGCATTTCAATCGAGGACCGTCAGAAAAAGCTTATTGCAATGGCCAAGAGAGCAGATGAGATCTTAGAGAAAGACGAGCTCGCGAGGATACGCGATTCCAAGTTGGCGCCGACCCTGGAAGCGTTGGACGATGTAGATCGCATTCGTCGTACGACCGACAGATCGTACATGTTACGGAAGAAAGCTCGACAGAGGCAACAAGTGCAGGCGACCCTATCATTCCCACGCGATGCTGACGTCAAGCAATGCTATCGAACGTTTTCGGATAAGACGAACGTCACGGTAAAATCAGGGGATTTAAAGAATGAGAGAGAGAGAGAGAGAGAGAGAGAACTTTTAACGTGGAGTTTTGTTTGAATTTTAATGGTATTTTAATTTTATTATTTTTAACTCGAACCTTTTGGCTCCATTGGAGCCATCATCAATGACGAAAAAGACAAAGTATGAGAGGTCATATATTTAATATTATAAGTTATGTATTTCTTACTGCGCTGACTCTAACTTTTTATTAGTATTTTATTTTAATTATCGGGAATCTCTTTATGTTTTATTTTTATTTAAAGGCTATAGAGACTCTTTCATATTTTAATTTTATAACTTTTTAAATTTTTTAAAGAATTTATAACTTTTTCAGGCAATTTTTGGACAACATCACTTGATCGACACTCCGTGTTTAAAGGATTTTCGAAGCGATTTTACGGAGATATCGCCAATATCACCAGTGTCATCCCCCGATTCATTTCGCAAAGAAGTTCTATCTTCGCTCGAAGTTGCTTCCACGAGTTCCTTGTTCTATGAACGCCGGTTCACAGACAATTACATGATCGAAAGTCTCAATCGGTAATCTGTGCATTGCTTATCGTCATCAAATAATGATTTAATAAATATATTAAGTTAATATATGAAAAACTCAATTGCAATAAAATATCTTCTTCTTGTGATCAGCTGATATTATCTTGCTTCGATACAATAGTTGTCTTCCTTGTCGACAAGAAAATTTCGCGGCGAGTTACGCGTAGAATTGTCATTTTTTATTTGACACTAATAATTGATTCAAATCTGCACGCGCGTCTATAAATATGATATATCAAGAGAGATATAAAAGAAAAAAAATTATCTTATATATCTCATGAATATTTAACTCATTGTTAACTGTTTTATTTTTTCAATTATGCCTTTGTCGTTTCAATGAATTTTCAATTAATAAAATTTCTTCATTGTTTTATCTCTAAGGACTTCCATAGACATCGCGATCATTATTGAACGGTGCTAATCGAGACGAGTCGATCGCGCTAGCGTTCTGGCGCGTTATCTGGCATGTAAGAGCGCGTCTACCTAGATGATTATCTAGATACTCTCGAGGTCGCTCCGGAGTGGGCGAGAGCGGAGAGAGAGACTGGCGAGCGCGGCGAATGACTAGTGAGAGCGAGCATGCCGTTCGCGTCGTAAGCGAGTGCTGTCGCTGCTGCCGCCGCCGCCGCCGCCGTCGTCGTCGTCGTCGTCGTCGTCGTCGCCGTGGTCCGCCGTCGGATGGTACCGGTTTGAAGATCGAGTCGCGCTTCAGGACCAGCTTTTCACGAACCGTTCGAGTTCGAGTAGAGACTCTCGCTCGGGTCGTCGTCAGTGTGTCGTCGCGTAATTTGTAATAAACTCTTAACGAATCGCTTTTGGCTTTCGCCCCCGTGTTCGTTCGACAGGGAAAATTTACACGGATCGGTCGAAGGAGACGCGCTTTTTCCCGGCGGTGCGCTCTACCCGATTCCGTTCCGGAACATCCTCTTCTTCCCGCGAGACGAGAACTCGTTGACGCGGCGGCGCGTTCAACTGCTCTCCCGTTTTCTTCTCTCGCTCTCTTTCTCTCTTTTTCGCGAGTTCCGAGTCACCCTTTGATATTCCCTGTCTTTCCTCTCCATCCGGTTCTCCCTTCGCCACCCACACCTTTGTGCGTCTCTCCATCCTTCCACGTTCTTCCGCCGCCGCCGCCGCCGCCGTCGTAAGTGTACGCGCGCGCGCGCGTTCACCGTTTTTCCGTCGCGCTCCGCTTCGTACTCGCTTCGTCTGCGAGTGCGCTGTCGAGGGAACTCACGACGCTCGCTCGTTCGTAGCTTTCGAGCGAAGCCCTCCGTAAAGCGGAAAGACGGGACGGATTAGAAACCTTCGTCGTGTCAAAGTTGACGCAATTATGGCGCGTAAGGAGGAACGGTGGTGCTACTTTGACGGTGCAAACGGATGTCGAAGGTCGACGTGGATCTCCCTGCTATTAGTTGTCCTGTGCGCTCTCCTGGCTGGATCCTTGGCGGTCGCCGAGCACGGTGAGTGTCTGTCGTCGTGTGTGCCTCTGTCTGTGTACGCGCGCGCGCGCGTGTATACAAATGTCATTTACATATTTGTGTATATATGCGCCGCGGCGAGCGCGCACACGGATACCTTTCGATAACCTGTTGCGTATCACGGAGGATTCTTTTCGAAGCGGGGAAGGCTCGAGTGAGACGGCGTGAGCAGCGGCCGTCGCGCTCGTTGAAGAAAGAGAAACGGCGCGATGGAGCGAATAAGGGAGAACAGCTAACGTTTAAAACACTGTACGTATTTTTTTTTTTTTTTTCGAGACGACCGTCTAAAATTGAATACTGTAAAGCAACGTTCATCCTTGTAAAAGGAAATAACGTGAAATGTCAGATAATAAAGAATTATCACAGATGACGCAGATGTTTGGACAGGTAAAGAATGAGAAAGAAGGAAAAGGAGGCGAACGAAGAGAGAGAGAGAGAGAGGGGGGAGGGCAACGAGAGAAAGAAAGGGAGAGAAAAAATCCGGTTGGGGAAATCCCACTTCTGGCACCCAAGCCTAGAATTTTTTTGACGTCGCTCCCTACAGTGATTTCCGTGATGTTCGTTGAGGTCGTCCTCGCGTTGTACCACGCCGATGCAACGGGATCGGGAAGACGGGAACTTGTCGTCGGAATAAGGTCGCGCTCTCTCGCTCGCGCTCGCGCTCACGGCCAAAGATACCGAGCGATTGTTACGTTCGTAGAGAACGAGACTGATGTCGCGAGCACGGAATAATTAGAAAATTCCGTAATTAGCGGATAAATGCGAAATCGATGCGAGAAATAAATGGAGGAATAAATGCGAGAGCTTCGCCGAGTTTTAAGATTATGACATATAAAACAATGTAAGACAAGTAAGACGTAAGCGATTCGGTCAATTATAATGGGCTTTCTACAATATAAGCTATGTTTTAAGTCTTAAATCATAAGACATTAACCAATCACAGTCGAATGTGAGAAGAATAATCGATTACGATTGGTTAATTTCTTATAGCTTATGACTTAAGGCTTAGGTTATGACTTAGAAAGTCTATAAAGGACTGTCTAACTGTCCACAGTGAAAGTAATAAGTTGTGTAAGTAATAATAAATTGTAAGCCATAAGAAATTGACCAATCATAATTGAATGTAAGGGAAACAATCGATTTATGATTGGTCGGTTTCTTACATTTTCTTGCTGCTTACTATGTAACGAGAGCTTTTCAGCAAGAGACACAAATTGGCACAAGTTTTGATAATCAATAAGAAACAAAGACAGAATTACTCTTGCGTTTATTTGTGCCTCTGCTGGAAAGCTCCCAATATTACTTCCATTGTAAACAGGACTTAAGACAATAATCATAATACAATAAGCACATAATTCAAAATATTGATTTACTTGCTGTTTAAGTTTCTTTTTGTGTCGTAGCTTTTAAGAATTACATCGTGAACAAGTATTATGTATAAACCTCTTTTCCTGCTTTACGTAATTATTTTGTCGTGTCATTTATCACGCCGTTATCCAGAGCCCTTTGATTCAGTAAGCCATTTTTCCACTGAAATTACAAGCGTCACGCGATAATTACTGGTATCGCCACAATTACTCGTCGCTAGAATACGTTGTTCGGTTGTAAAATACATTATGCTATATGAATGATACATCTTCTTATCGTTCCCGTTAAGGTTACTACTAGCTGTTGTAAATTTCCTGAAAAAAGAATGAGAAGAGAAAAGGAATTTTCGCACGCGACAATTTTGCGACCTCTTTCATTCTGACTTTCGTTGCTGGGGATAACGGTATGAAGAATTCACGAATGACTGCTTGCAGGGTTATCTCGGGGTTACCCTTCGCATACCGTTGACGCGCCTTGATTTCGCGATTGCGAAACCACTTGCCACTTGCTCGGAGCCGTCACTCGATGTGCGCTCCTTTATTCGCCGCGTGTACCTTCAACAGTGGGAATCGCGAGAATTGCGACTGACATTGGATTCATTGGAATTGGCTGAGCTATTGTCGACGTTGCCAGAATCGTTGGTATCACCAGAACGTCGAGGAATGTCAAACTGTTGTATGTTAGTCGTTGACATCGTGTGTTACAGGCACGAACGCGTTACGCTTTCGCAAATCGGCGATTTTATCCCAAGTGATTCTTGGATTGTGCGAAGTAAAACTGTTATTAAGGCTCCTGAGTAGTCACCACAGCCAGATTGAATCGTAACGTCAGAAGCGAGAAATGACATGTTAATTTTTATTACCATTTATGAATATTGCCATTTATGAATAAAGACAATTTCGTTAAAACGGAATGATGAGATTGCTTTAAAACATTTGTGAAAATGGACGAAAACTATGCTTATCCCTTTTGACAGTCAGTAAATAACCGTAAAAAGTAATAAAAGACACGTGTAAGTGAAAATAAGCTACGCATTGAATAAAAGCACTTTATTGACTGTCAAGGGGGATAAGTATAGTTTTCGTCCATTTTTACAAATATTTTAAAGCAATCTCATCATTTCGTTTTATCCAAATTGCTTTTATTTATAAATGGCATGTAATAAAAATGTGTCATTTCTCGTTTCTGACGTCACGATTCAATATGGCTGTGGTGACTGCTTAGGAGCCTTAAAGATGATAAAATACTTGAATTGTTAAGCTTGCATGATGAATGTTATAGAATGACTTTCCTTTTCTTTTTAGTCGCGGAATTCCTAAATTAAATTGCAGGGAAATATCAGAAATAAATTGTTTTTCTCATTAACGAGAATCTTTTAATAAAATTATTTCTTCATATTTTTATCAGAAATTTTCTACAAAAACTACAAAAGAACTTTGTGCAATTATGCGATATTACCATTGCTGCTTCCGAAATTTAAGGCATCTTTTTGTCTTATAGTTAGAGAATCAATAATAAAAATACTTTATAATGCGTGAATAGCAGTGAACTTTGTTCCGCAAGTATTATTGTTGTGCGATGCAACAAGCGGCTGCATCTATAATGCAAACGCGGGCGGAGTATTTTACGGAAATCGATAGATGAGCTTGTGACGCGATGAGATACTTTCAGAGTATGTCATATCGGTTGGAGTTACATTTGAGAAAAGTAACACCACAAGAATCAAATTTATATTAAAGTATCATTCTTATAACGAATCCAATTTTCGAATTCGTGACAAATGCATTTAGGATTCCTTGTCATATATATATTCGTTATTATATATTTTTAAAAAATTATAAATTCGTAAAAAGTAATTTAATTTTTTATTTAATTTTTTTATTATTATTAAACTTTAATTTGTGCAATACGACCGCACAAATTAAATCGAAATAACGAAGATAATCAGAGCGGTGTATTCTAGAAAAATATCACATGAAAATGTACGAAAATATTATTTTATGTTATGTATATTATAGATTTCCCTAACATTTTTGTATAAATATTTTTTAAAATTAAAATCCGTGATATTTCATAGGGTGCGTAGATAAAGATAAAAAGAAGAAAAATAAATGAAGATAAAACGTAAATGCATTCTTGTGAGACT